GAACGTGTTGGTGTTGTTTACACCAGCTGTTTGCACCTGGTGAGCAGAGTATGTATTCACAGCCTCCTCATCAATCAGGAGATCTGGGGCAGGGAGCCAGACGGGTATTAAACCTAGCGTGAGAATGGCAAAGGAAGCCCTAAGCCTGGCAGAATCCTCATTCCACTGGGTGGCATTATCCACAGCCCCGTGTCCCCATGGAGGCCCAGGGGACTCTGAAACCATCCCTTTGCCTGCAGTTATGCTGGTCATCCCCTGCTCTGCACAACCATTTCCATTAGTGTGTATAACTCTTTGCCATAAAGGAGAATTCAAGTCTTCTGATATCTCTGTTGCACCTCTTAGTCACAGTTCCATTGTGACAACTTTGCATTTGCCTATTCATCTCAATATTTTCTCAAATTCTTTTGTAAGCAGGCAAAGAGTTGAAATAATGAATACATAAACATTCATCGAAGCCTCTACTGAGACTTACAGGATGCTTAGCTTATGGATATTCCTTGAAAAGAACTTTTTGAATGGAAAGAGAGATGACTTTGCCAATGATTTCATCAACAAATTTATGCTAAGATCTACAACAAGGCAGGCACTGTGAGGTACATAAACAGCAAGGTAAGACAGAGTAGCTATTCTCCAGGACTTGGTAGTCTGGTTGCAGCAAGCAGCAGAGACCATTTAAGTTCAAAAAATATCCACTGACATCCATATATTCCACTGTCTTCATAATTAGACTGGTCCTCGCCAGTGATGGATGGAAGTGATGATGGAAGTGATGGATGACACTTCCAGACTGAAGTGTTTCACAGCCTCTGTGTGACTCCTGCCGACCACCCCAGCTCTCTCTTTCGCTAACATTGTGTCCATGTGGACTCCATCAGTCTGGGTCCTTGAGTGACTGTGTGAAGCAGAGACCCTGGCTTGTCACACTAGACATGTAGAGTGAGCAAGAACAAATAAACAACTTCACATTATGCAACTGAGATCTTCTGATGCGTTTATTATGCTAGCACAACTTCATCTATTCTATTACTGGGAAACGCACACAAATACAGTAATGATATTGGGCAGTACATGGTCACTTCCAGTGAGCAGAGTAGATAATACAGTCCAAGTGACTCCTGCCCCGCTGGTTTATAAGCCACCAAGTCTTGGGGATTGTGTCCCCTCTGCTTTTGCCTTTGCTGTCAGGTCTCTGTGTGGTTTGGTGCCCTCCTGTTGTTCAGGTCTCACCTATAATGCTCCCAATTTAACAGGCCTTTTCTAACCACCTGATTCAAAGTACACAATCCCAACAGTGATCCCTGTTTTGCTTGCTCACCTTCCATGAAATGCTCTTGTCTACTGCCTAACTTTCCCTCGCCACAGTGTTGTCCAAGAAGAACAGGGACCATGTCTTTCTTGTCTACAACTGTGCTTCCAGAATTTGGCCTGGCACAAAGTAGGCACTCAGTCAACATCAGGGGTGAATAAATAGATGAATGATCTGTGGCCCAGGAGTTCAGAAGTGTATGGGAGGAAACTCACTGAGGGCTGCGTGTCCAGAAAAGAATTCATGGGGAGGCAGGCCTTGAGAGGCCCTTTAAAGAGAGGGTCACCGGGGGTCATTACAATGGTTACAGCAGCTTGAGCAAGCATGGGTGGCAACACACAGACAGGTGGTTTTGGGTGACTGTGAGTTGAGGACAGTGGGAAGAAGGTGGCTGAGAGCCCCAAATGTTAGATTATTTCTGACTGATGTGCAAGAGGAAGTGCTCTGAGGGGACTGAATGGGACTGATGCCCCCCAAACCCGCTGTTTGAGAAAGGCTGACTGGGTGGGGATTTCTAAGACAGGGGCCCACAGAAAAGAAGCTAAACACAAGGGCACGGTCATTAAGCTGTGACAACAGTCCAGATAGGGATGATAATCTGTGGACAGGAAGGAGGAAATGGTAGAGGAGGGAGCAATTAAACTTGATCCAGAAAAGTTTCCTCTTTGCCCAATGCCACACAGCTGGGGCTATGAGGGACAAGGAGCTTGGGCTAGCAACAGGTTCTTCCCAGTGGACTCTGTAATTCAGTGGTCCTTGCAGTGCACGGCAGCACCTATCTGAGCCCCTAAGGATGTCCAGTCTGACAGACAAGAGCAGCCATCAGGAATAATGTCTGCATGGGTTCCTGAGTGGAGATCCAACACACCACTTCAATCCAGACAGTAAAAAACGTACATAAAAATAGCACAAAAGACACTTGCATTTTAGAGGCAGACTCTGAATTTGAACCTTCCTAGCATGAGGATATAACACTTCCCTTGCTGACCACACATAGTTTTTGCAAAGATGAAATGGGATACAGAATTTTTTTTTTTTAGTTTAAAAACAATTTATGAGTATTACTAGCACAAAAAACAAAATAAACTTGCTAGAATTTCTTCTCCTTTCCAATTGACAGACTTTCTTTGGGAGAACTGGGCATTGATTTAGCAGCCTGAAGGGGCCAGAACTTTTAGGGTGAGGTATACCATTAGAAACAGTGGATGCAGCTTCACTGTATGGAAACTCTTCTGGGGCCCAATGCAAAGAGAATATGCCAAGCCTTGTATGCGGGAGGTGCCCACTAAATACTTGCTAATGAGTTTTTGATTGTCAACCACTCCATTTCTGTTGTGTCTTTACTACTCTCTGGAGCTGTGTAAGAAAAGTGAAATAAAGTAATGCAAATGGGTAGCAGGAAGAAATTTCTACATCCCTCATTCCCTGTTCCTCTCTTCCCTGCTTCCTGCCCACATGCTCAGTAATCTTTACATCAGATCTTCCAGCCTTTCTCCATGCTGGCATCTTATATCCCTGCCCAAGTAATTCTGCAAACACACAGCTCCTATCACATCACACCCTTCCAAAGACCCTCAGTGGTGTTGGAGCAATTGAGTCAGGAGCTGCTGAGGCGACATTTCTCTAAGCTGCTGGTGTTTCTTCTACATGGAGGGAGCGTGATCATTTGCGATGTCCTGACTCATCTCCGCCACCTCACTCATTTCTCGTCTTGGGTGACAGAAGGGGAAATAGCTTATCTCAGTGGTCAGTCTGGAAGGTGACAGTGGCACTCCTCGCCTGCCCATTCCTCTGCCCTTCCTTTGAGGAGCAAAGGGTCTGCAGGAAGCAGTTGTCCTCTGTGCCCCCCACGTCTGTCCTAAGAGTTTCAGGGCTGCCCTGTCCCCTGTTGCCCGCTGTTGGGAGGGTCTATCGGTCTGCAATCCAGAATTAGAAAGCCTACTGGGCTCTCCAACTAAGACGCTTCCGCTGATGGAGTCCTTTCCACTTTAAAGGTGATATCCTGGCTTTTGTCTACATCTGCCTTTGCTTCATTTCTCAGCTAGTTCAGGACTCGGGCCAGGACGATGGATACTTTTCGTTAGATGCCCCTTTGAACTCCTGCAAATATTTTTCCATTGTCTAAAAAATAAGCAGAGTCCTCAGCTTGACATTTGAGGTCTTCCAACAAACACAGGAAAAAAGGTATCATCAACTTTCTGGGCCCAGTCTCCCACTATGCTGTGCCCTGGACATGCCACAGACCCTAGAACAACCACTCCAACGGCATCCTGGGAATGCTTCATGTTTTCTTTCTTCCGTATGCTAATCTCTGCTCCTTCGGCTCCCTGGTATCTAGGCCCGCCAAAATTTTACCCACCTACCCATCGTATAAGCGCAGGCACATGCCCCTTCTCTGTGTGCCCTCCTTGACCCTGAGGGATCTTATCTCTCTCTTCAGTGCTGGATTTCGCATTCTGTCTCTTCTGCCAGGAACCTTCTCCTCCTGCCCACCCCCTCCTCCCCCTGCACATGCCTATCGGACCACCACTTATCTCTGAGCTCTCTGACTGGAGGCCTCTACCTCCGAGCCTCCCCTGGGCCCTCAGGAGTGTTGGCTGGTCCTCCTAAGTGCTTCCATAGAACCCCGTATACCACTAAATATGCGGAAGTAAAATGCTCTCCTTACTTGTCTCAAGAAGTTTATGAAGGCATATAGATAACACTTACAATTATGTACAAGGCTAAAGAGAGCAGAAGTGCCACTCCAGATGGTAAATTGCCTACATCCACATAGAAACCAAAGGTAAATGCTCACTGTGAACAGAGGCCCAGCCGGGGAAAGGCACTGAACGAGTAACTGGAATAAGTGAAGCCTTTCCGGAATTCTCTGGTCCCCCAGGGAAGGCTCTCTCAAAGAGGGGGTTATCCTATCAAGTGTCTAGCTTCTAACTGGTCAGTGAATTAAAGACATCATATCATTAATTCAACTTCCCGGAGGTGAATAGGAGGCCGAGACTCCTACTCCCTGGATTGCGAGGGAAAGGGAGTGCATCCAGGCCACCCAGAATAAATCCGATGAGGAAAGGGTCTCGGCTCTCAGCCCTCCCCCCACCTAATAAGCACAAATGCCAAAAAGTGGTGTTCAGGCAACAGCAGGTTGCAGCTCAAATGACATGTCTGAATATTGAGGCCACTGCATTTTTCTCACTGGCTTGAAGCTTGGGAAGTCTGATATGCCTCTTTGAAGTTTGCTTGGTGCACAGGGAATGTGTGGATTTTCTGAGGCCTCTGACAATGTGGGGATAGATAAGACCCTCTCGGGCTCAAGTATCAAGAGGCTTTCTCAACTTTATAAACGCTGCTGGGAAAATGAGGAGAGCTGAAACTCTGAGATTTTTAACAGGAAGCGTTGAACTGGGCTTGCTTCTAAGTTAGGCTAAAGGGAATAGACCCATGGATTATTCTTAGGGGAGAGTGAGGCAATCGACCTGGGCTGGAGAACAATTTCTGCCTAGGGGAGCCCTTGGTAGGCCATAACAGCACATAACCACTCTACTCCCTCATTTCTCCAATTTAGATGCACTGTACAAAGCATCCTGTTCCCGTTCCTTTTCTCATGTTGGGTCATTACCACGTAAAGTGTTGCCCACATTGAACTGACCATGTTCAAGGGGGCCCAGGGCAAATAGGTGATGCGATGGCACAGTACCTATTTGGGTGAGCCACTTGGCCACGGCACCATAGATCTCATCCAGGATGAGGATGACCACAAGGTTGATGATGACTGCCGTTGCTGTCACTGTCACCCGGACATTGGAACGCGTGTCCTTGTTGAGAGACAGAGCAGCTGCAACTGTGATACGATACACAATGACTGCAAAGACGATTGAGAAGGTCAGGGCAATCTGTAGAGGAAAAACAGCAAGAGTCACACATCCGTGGATAATTACTAAGCACCTCTTATCTGCTCGGCCAACAGTGCTATGTGCTACATCAGGTATTCTTAACCTGGAGTCCGCTGGTGGGCAACAAGGGAACTGCAAACCCTCTAAACTCATTCAAATTCTGAGTATTGGTGCATTTTTCAGGAGATAATGTCTCCCATTTTTATCAGATTCCAAATGGCCTGTAACGCACACAAAGAACTAGGAATAGAAACATTGGATACTGTGGTGTGTATGATACACATGATGTGATTGTTTTCATGAGGGAGCTTTCAATTTACTATGGAGAAAAGAAGAATTTCTGTTAAACCACACTCAATAATACCTGAGAATGTATTAAGTGCTAAGTGAAGACTATAGTTGTTCAAGGGACTGAGAATACAGAGGAGCAAGTAGATCTGAGTGCTCAGGGAATAGTTTGTGGAGCAACGGGATTTAAACTGGGACTCAATGAAAAGAAATAGTGAGCCATTGAAGGTGATTGAGCCGAGAAGGGGTGAGAGCTTGATGGGGTGGGTGCGAGAAGGCTGACCAAAGAAGAAAGGGTCAGAAAACGGGAGGGAGATTTTCACACTGTCAGTCCCCAAGGGGAAAAAAAAGTCACCCGAGTTTCTCTACCAGGCAATCTGAAATGGAGAACTCAGATTTCTCACGTGGTGTCGAAATCTCTCGCTGCTATGTTTAAAAGGAAAGTCTAGCAGCCACTTGCCTTCGAAGGATCCCCCATTACCTCTCTAGAACCTAAAAATACCATGGCACTCTCCCAGACTGGCTCCCTCCTCTCTCACATCACAGCCCAGGGAGGGCTACTTCCCAGAACCACAAATGTCAGGAAAAGAAAGGGCCCGGGATAAGCCTCCTAGATGGGGCAGGGGGAAGAAAGAGAGCAGCCAGGTGTTTAACCTGCTCAGAGAAAAAAAGTCTAATTTGTTCCAGTCAAGTGAAGTCTTCTTTCTTAGAATTCTTTTTGCAAAGGAGGCTGTTCAGGTCATATTTCCTCTGGGGGCAGGGGATGGAGGGCTAAAGAGAAAACACGGGGAGAGAAAGGAGCAGGTATAAAGGTTCCCTCTGAAGACACAAGCTCTCCTGGACTGTCCATTCTCTCCATACAGAGGAGGGGCGGGGAGGGGGCTCAAGCTTGGGCTTTGCAAGCTGTGTGACCGACACTCTGGTGGGCTGCAAACGGGGAATGGGTTGCAGATGTGTCTGAGGAATGGATGTCTTCAGACCTCTGGGGGCAGGGTACTTGGAGGGGCTGATGCCTGGGGTGTGCTGACGGCAGCCTCAGCCGTTTATCCCCCTGTGCTTTACAAATATTAGTGTTTGCCCTGAGGGCCACGGTGTGAAAAAGAAGCCCTCCCTGAGGAAGAGAGGATGGTGTTGTTCTCTGGGTAGAGGGCGGGTGTGTATGTGCGCATGTGTGTGTACTCATACATGTGTATGACTGGGTGGAGGAGAGGTGGGATGGGAAAATCGCTCTGTGGGAGGCCCCTCTTCTGATGCAGGGTGGGGGCAGGAGCAGCAGAAACACCCGGCTCCAGGACGAGGGAGGAATGACAACCACGACCACGTAAGTGGGAAAACCAGGATGAGACATCGCCGCTCTCCAGCACTGTCGACATTTTCACTTCCCATTCCTCTGGGATTGTCACTGCCAGACAGTAAGGGCCTGGAAAACATGGTGTGAGATTCTTTTTACCCAAAATCACTTTTGCAGTGAAGGTCAGTGATGGAAGCAATGATGAGGCGGGGGCGGCCAGGGCATCGAAGTGTGTGTGAGTGTGTCTGCGTGAGTGTGTGAGTGTGTGTATATGTATTTGGGGTTGGGGTTGGGGGAATGACTAGGGGTAAAACAACAATGGCAAAAACATCCTTTGCTTTGGAGACTGGGGGTGGTGCGTGGAGAAACGAGTGCACAGGAGATCAGCTTCTCTCCTCCTTCTCTAAGAGGCCCAGTTGCTAAATGGGGAAGGAAGAAAGCTCTTGCTGGCTACACGAAGTGTGATCCCTGGGACCTGCTCCATCAGCTGGGAGCTTGGTGCAGGATCTTTAGCACAACTGCAGACCTGCTGACGGAGAATCTGCACTTTAACAAGATTCCTTTGCAAGTTCTAGAGTCACTGCCCTCCTCATTTAGGAAATCCCTTCTTCCTACCCTGTCTACCTCCCCAGCCCCACTCCCACTATGTCCCTTCCCAGCCCTCTGATGCTGTTCTTTACAATCTTAACTTCTCTGGTCTGGATTTTCCATCCCATTACAGAAATCAGGTTCTGAACCTCCCCTTCGGTTTTTCCCATAAGCACCTCAAAATTCACTGTTTTCCAACTGGAAGAGCTTGGAGAGCACCAGCCAGTGCCATGACCATCATACAGATGAAGAAACTGGCATGAAAACAGATTTGTTCAAGACCACAAGGTATGGACAATGACCCTGGTCTCCTGGATCATGGTAGGAATTAAAAGAACTTCAGCATTTCGAGAGATTTATGTTTAGCCTTTGATCTCACATATAAGAAACTGATGCCTAAGAAACAGCAATGTGATTGGTCCCAGGTCCAGAAGGTACATGGTAGAGCTGATATACTAATGGTAATAACATCGTCACCAACAACAGCAGATCCATGTGTAGCCTCTCTTTGTCCTGATTCAGAGCATATTTTCACTAGCACTAATCCTTATAATTACCACAGAAGATATTTCTTTTGTAGAAGCAATTTAGTGCTACCCAGGATTTGAACCCTGCTCTATGGCTGCAAAGTCTACAATCCCATCCTGACTCCCATTATCTCTCTAGAACCCCCATTAGAACTCACAGATTCTGACACTAAGTCCAGCACTATTTTCACCACTTTGGCTGCATTATTGATTTTATTGATTAACTTCAATAAATATTTTCTGACCACTTATGGTGCAAACCACTGTGCTGGGTATATTTCATATTTGTGGTCAGTCTCCCCGACCTAGGGCAAAAGCGCAGCTTGGTTTTGTGCTGCATCCTGTGACTTCAGCTGTTTCATCGAGGTGCCTCAGGTGCGGAATCTGTTTGGTAAAGATTTGCTGATCCTCCACACATGGTCACATTATCATGGTCCTTGTTGCTTTTGGTGTTTTAATCCCATAATTTACTTCTGGGCACAGCCAAATTGCAATGGAAGCCAGGCTACAAAGTCCATAGCCCTATTTGACACTTTAAGAGAGACAGGGAGGAGAGCAAGTTTGATCCTTACCCTCTAGGACTTGCATTCTGAAACAAAGTTAAGAAAACCATTGCACATAACAACTGTTGAGCCTAGTAGCAGCTGGACAGAGTCACCAGCCTCAGCTTCTGGTATGCTCTGAGCAGAGAGCAGGGGGATTAGTGAGAGGAAACTCCATGGAAGCAGCTTTGGGACTGTTTTCTATGGGAAAGGCTTGGAGGAAAGAATAAAGAGGAGTAAGTAGAAATGCACAGGCAGAAGCAACCTCTGCGAGAAGAAACTAGTGGGAGAGTGCCCAGTCTAGGGCATGGCACATAATAGTAGCTCAATTTTTAAAAATACACACACTAATGACATAAGTTGTCTCTGGCATCTTCTTAATTTATTTTCTCATTCAGTCATTCATAAAAGATGCCTTGAGTACCTACTATGTGCCAGTCACCATTTTAGGTGTCAAGGATATACTGGTGAACAAAGATACAAACTTCTTGGATGTTGATCCTCTAATGGAGATAGACAATAAACTAATAAATAGGTAAAATATAGAGTATATATGGTGTGATAAACACTATGAAAGCAAATAAAGCAGAACAGGGTTATAGGGAAATATTGCAATTTAAAATAGGGTGGTCAGGAAAGGCTTAGGTGAGAAGGTGACATTTCAGCAAGGACCTGATTGAGCAAAGGGAGAGTCGGAGCGGGACATGGCGGGGTGGAGAGGAGGGGAACCAGCCCTGCAGAGTTGGCTCTACATCTCATGAGATGTGAAAACTTTAGAGGGTTTGGAGCAAAGGAGTGCTACTATCAGACCTAGATTTTACAAAAATCAGTAGGGAGGACAGTGTAAAAGCAGGGGGATCAGTTAGGAGGCCATTGCAATAATCCAAGCAATGGAAGAGGTTTTCTGATGGCTGATTCCCAATATACAAGTGTAAGTGGCTGTGTTGGGCATAGGAGGAGGGCTCAGGCACCTTGCTCTAGAGAAAGGAAGGACATTGCCTGTGCTAATCCCCTGTCATATAAAAAGAAAACCCAAAGGGGGTCAATTCAAATTGAAACTTTAGCTCAGCATACTGGATTGGAGAAGAAAGAGTAAATTTATCTTTATCCATGCAGGTCTCTATCATGGTGGGGAAGAAGGGCACAGCATGTGACATTTCTTGGCTCTTGTCATCCTATGAAAAACATCCCCAGCTGATCTGGCAGACTGACATCCCTAAAATCGTCCTCATGGCCAAGGTCCTGAAATCTTCTGCCAAGGTTTAGTCACAGGGGACGGAGGAGGGAACGATATTTGATACTCCAGTTTGTTGCCCAAATTCCATAACAGAACGCTCTTTTATAAACACCTCCCTGACCCCTTGATCTCATGTGCCACACATTGTTCCAGGGTAATACCCTGGTCCTCTCGTGTGATGAACTAGGCTGTGAATCCACAAGGCAATTGCCCGTGGCCACTTCTCAGGGACATATTTCTGTCTTTCTCCCTGTTCTACTTAGAACATAGTTTTCTATGCAGTCCCATTAACAGGAAATGGGGTTGACTTAGTTCTATCATCTTTATTCTAAGAATGTAGCCTTTTGGAGTTCCAGTTTAATTGGTGATGACTTCCTGTTAGAATCCCCACTTTGAGTGAGTCATTTCCCCTGATTTCTACCCTCCTTGCCCCCATAACACCTCCAAAACCAAAGCCATTGGCCTAGATGGGAAAATATCCTCAAGGTGGAGGCACCTCCCATTTTCCCTTAGAGCTTAGCCTTATTATTCTGTCAATCCTTCAAGCCTTTAAGATTGAAAAATATATTTATCCAATATTATTTTTGTTATTTTCAGCAAGATGAGATACTATAAACATCCTAACCTATCACTAATGGAGGTAGAAGTATTTTACTTAGCTATTTTCTTATTTATGTACATATTTGTTATCTATAAACTCCTTAAGGGAGGGATTATTTTGTTTTATTTTATGCTCTACCCCGAAGGCCTAAGAATAGCGTCAAGCACATAGTTGGCACCCATTAAATATTTCTTGAATGAATGAATAATCTCTGACAACAAGATGCATATTGTGGGAGGCTTTGAAGTGCTAAATTAAACTTTATATCATTCCAGCGTAACACATTGCAATTCACCACATGTTGTTGAATACATTCTACATGTCCTGCTCTTGTTAAGCAATGAGAAGATAACAAATGTAGACTTCTAAGTTCTGGCAAGGCACCCATCACCTCTGCAGTTCATCTGTGAGAGAAGTTGTTGAAATAGATGCTTCCTTCACTTTAAATTTCTGAGACTAGGACTTGGCTCCTGTCCTCAATGGTCAGGATGTCAACAATAACATCAGGCCAGGATCAGAGTTACCTGTGGCCAGTCAGTCCAGAAAATTATAATCATTTCAGTACCCCCCCCTTTTTTTTTTTGGAATAAGCAAACTCTTTTCCACCCTACAACTAATATGCGGTCCTGCTTAGAAATACTGTAGGAATACAACTCCTTTCTAAAACAAAAGTTCCAGTTTTGAATATTAGAAGGAGTCTACCGATAAAGATGGGGCAGATGTCTCAGTGGCCCATGTTCAGTCCTCTGAGTTTCACCTTTTGTTATTTTCAGCAAGATGAGATGTTACAAATATCCTCAGACCTTCTAGCTTCACTTACTTTTGGATCACTCATCCTGGCTCCCAAGACCAGCCTTCTACCACTTTATTGATATGACTCAAATATGAATCACAGACCCCTTCCTTACCTTCCTTGACACAACTGAGACAATCTGGGCCTGTCAAACAGGCCCTCTCAAACACTCAGGGAGAACACAGAAATAAACATAGCAACTACTGGCAAACTAAAGAAGCAGCTTAGAAAGCCCAGGCTGGCTGTCTCCTGTGGCTACCAGACTCTGTTCTATTCCACAAATCATCAGAGAGAGCCAGCCCACAGCTTCAACAAGCTGCCGCAATTCTATAGCCATCTACCTGATTACTTCTTCCAAGGTCTCGGTCTGTCCCAATGTAGAAGGTACCATCTCACCACCAACCTACCGCATGTAGTTCCAACTTCAAACATCTGTAGTCAAGGCTGGGAAGATAGAACCACCTTCTACCCTCTCCTTTCTAGGAAGATAGAAACTCCTTCAATAGCTACAGAAGGCCACTGACCCCTTCCAGGTCTGGTGTTCTGTCTGAGAAAATCACCTTCCCCTCTTCAGGTGACGGATACCAGAAATGGCCTCGCTATCAGATAAGATCCTGTCCTTCTACAGAGGGATTCATCTTTATTAGCCTCTCATTATTCCCATAGTGTAACAGAAAAACACACCCACAGTGTTCATTTAACAGGATCTAACAAGCATAAGTCATAGGCAGATGTTCCCTCAAGGAAATTACCATGAACAAGATGGAGACGAAGTTTATCAGGTAACCTGGGAAACGATCTCTCCAGGTCAGCTTATCTTCATCATCATCCTGGGAAGAAACAGGAGAGTAGAGAAAATAAGAAGGCACAAATAACAGATAATAATTTTCTCTTAATTTGCATACACTTGCATATCGTTAATCATGCATCATTTTATATATGTATTTTTCTAGTCTCCAATGCCTTACCTTCCATATTAACAACAGCTCTCCTAATTTTGTGATTTCTAGGTAGCCTGAAGAAACTATGGCAAAAAGAGGACAAGATTTGAGTTCTGCCTCATTCTGGTCTGAAGTTTTAAAAAGTTCAACCACTTATCAGCTGCACGCTCTTGAACGTCTCTTAAGTTTTTGGACCCTCTATTTTTTTTATCATAAAATGGGCACAATTGCAACACTCATCTTGCCTACCACACGGCATGGTTTTGTTTGTTTTGTTTTAATGAGAAACATGTGAACATGGTAAAGCAATGGACAAATGACATATACAACCCAACCGCAGGGCAACATCCTAAAATAGAGCATTCTCTAAATAAAACATCAACCATAGGTCCTATTAAGTGGACAAATTACCCACAGTTTTTGTTCTTGAAAGAACTTTTATGTGTTGTCATTTGTTTACCCCAAAACGACTGTGTTCTCTCCTGGTTACAGATGCAGACATTTCTAGATACAGGTTGAGCCGATGCCTTGCAGTCAGTCTGACTGAGAGCTCTACCTTTTCTCCTCAGACTGGGTGCAGTGCACCCAAGCTGCCCTTCTGGGACAACCATGTGTCTGACGTGGAGTCCTTTGGCTTACTCTGACAATCTTCATGGGGTTGGGTGATATCAACAAGGTATGTATGAATGGTAAAAATCTCCACCAATTAATTGCCATGTAACTTTAGTCCAGCCACTTGCTTTCTCTGAGCTGCACTTCTATAAAATGATAAGTGATACAGGGTTGTTCTAAAGACCATTTGATGCCATGTTTGTAAAAATGCCATGAAAGTGGCAAAGCACTCGGTGCTGGTGAGGTAGGAGTCCTGCATTTCTGCGATGTGTCAGAACCAAACTTAGCCTCTGAATGTTCCAGGGCCCCCTCCTCTAATCTCTCTTCCCTCCTGACCACTATTTCAGAATACACCTGATTTGGCTCTAGCAACAGTGCCATCTAGCCTTTGAAAGTTGTACTGTAGGCCAAGGGCCTTTGTGGCCTAGAAGACATCTTCCTAAAAACCTTTGTGCACCCACGGGGTGTAGACCTTGTTGGCAGGAATGGTAGGAGACAGAAGAAAGTGGATTTGACCACTGCCCCTGGGGACCTCACAGTCTAAGAAAGCGAAAGTGACACCCACATACTAAAAGCTTTAGGAAGCACTTCCCAATGTGGGAGTGAGGATTATCTTGGGCACGAGCCTGTGGGGAACTTGAGGAAAAAAATGATGTGTTTTTCTTCCTGCATGTCTGGAGCTGAGCGCAGGGTTGAGCTGGCTTAATAAATGGGGATGGACATGAGTGTTAAGGCTGAAGTCATTTAATAATTAGCACTTTCATTTACAGATGGTGTAAACAAGGGATACTCAGTTTTTCATAAACCTCATGATAGAATCAGGGCTCTAAACTCCTAGCCCAGCAGGCTTTTCATCACACAATTGAGAACAAGGTAAGTGCAGGTTGGGACCACTCTGGATGAGTGACAGCTTATAAATCTATTTCTACAAGGACTGGAACAATGCTCATTTATCTTCTTCTACATTAGACCAAACATCAAAAGGGAGTCACACTTCTTTCTTGTTGCTTCAGTATTAATTCGTAGTTTTACTCCCACTAATGATATTTTCCTATAAGATTTTGATGAGGAAAGCTGAAGGTGGGCTGGTGGATAACAGCACCCAGTAGGGATTCTGCAAAGAAAAGAAGAGGGTACATGGCAGGGCTCTTCCTGAGGTTCATTATAATGAAAGTTCTGATGATTCTTTGACCCTTTTTCCGGTCTCTGGCCTAGAGATAAGTTCTGCCTTAAAACCCAGAAAACCAGATGTGTGCTAAAATACCAGTGGTGAGTAGAAAAGAGGGAAGTCTGGTTCATAGGTTCCATGTTACCAGTTCCTCTGCCAGAGGATTCCCAAGTGAGGAATAGTGCAAGGAGAGGGAAAAAAAACAAAAAACAAAAAACAAAAAACAACCTGTGCTTGGTTCCTGAGATGAAGGAAAGAGGAAACAACCATATGTTAGTAAAGGTGAGACTGGGTTCAGGGTGGTCCTCAAGGCAGATCTGGACAGTCCAGGAAGAAATAGGGGAAAGGGAAGTAGGAACGGAGGAGCAGGAAATATGGCCCAAGATGGCATGGACTCAAATAAATAAATACAACTGTAGAGGATGACTAAGAATCCTGTGGAGGAGTCAGGCATCTGAGATAGCCTCTGTTAAGGTTTCCTGTCCAGTGGTTGTCCGCCTTCTTCAGTCCATGGACCAAGGGGAATGAGATGTCTTTGGACGAGCCTCCACCTTGCAGTGACAATTCTGTCCTGGAGAATGAGCTTTGATTCAGTTCCCCTCAACAAACATGGTCTGGGCATCTTGGAGGGCTGGGCCCTGTGCTGGACACTGAGGACACAGTGGGGAGAAGACTCAGCCCTGCCCAGAAGGAGCTCAGAGACCACCACAGAAACAGAAGGATTTCAATGCTAACCCTATCAAGGCAGGTGGCATGACTATTTTGCATATAAATGAGACACAACTAAAAAGTGATTGACTTGGTTGTCCTCTCAAAGCAACTACCTTAAAGAATATTATTCATTTTGACATAGATGTTCTAGTGCTTGTTGACAAATCACCCCCTCTCATGTTTACATTGATGAGCCCTTTTTTCTGGAAGCCATAGTTTCCATCTCGTACATGAGACACTATCCAAACACAAGAGGCCAAGTGAAACACAAAGATTACCAACTGCCCTCCAAGCTCGCAGAGTTACTTGTAAAGATGACAGTGAGTAAAGCAGACTTCACATATAATAACTGGTTCTGATAATGGAAGCTAATTGAAACTCTCCACTCACTGGCAAATTAAAGATTTGAAGATTCATGGTAAAACACTGTTACTTTAACTACACTCTATGTAATCATCACATAAAAAGCCTGCAGTGTAATGAAAAAGGAAGCAGCCTTGAGACCAGAACACCTGAGCTTAACTCTTAGCTCTAACATTAACTAGTCAAGTAACCTTGGGAAATTTCCAGAACCTTAGTTTCCTCATCTGTAATTATATTCCTGATCTGTAAATGTGCAACATGACAAATTACCATGCATTTTATATAAATTAGCCAACATACAGAGAGTGCCACGCTGGTGCACCTGCACACAGAGGTAGGTGAGAATTCTTAGTGCTTCCCTTTCCTTTTAAAACAGAGATGACAACTCTTGTCCCACCTAAGCGACAGAGGTATTGTGCAGATCACATGAGTGAATGCCTGTGAGAGAGCTTTGTAAACTGTAAGGTGTTACACAAAAGTAAGGCCTAATCAGCTTCATGATTATATCAAAGGCAGGTGATTAGCAAGCACTTAGCTAATGTCACCATTGTTAAGACATGAGCCTAGTTGTCATCTGTGTTTGTTTCTTTGTCCCTGTTATCCTGTTTCTGTTCTCATACTATGGCTCCTATTCCAATTCTCTAATAGCAAGTAGCACAGTGATATTCATGTTACACCATAGAATTGCTCTTTTGAAAATATTTATATTCAGAATATATAGTCTATATACTATCTTTGAAGTTTTCCTCTATATATGCATACACACTTCACACCCAGTTTTCTCCATTATGTTGTGTGGGTTCATTTTTCACAACCAATGAACAAATACTGCAAGCTATTATTAAAGTTCATACTTGATTTGTATTTTCTACGTTTTTACCCACTGGCTGTTTTCTGTTCCAAGATCCTATCCAACCACTGTTTGTGGTCACCGTGTCTCCTTAGGCTCCTCCAGACTATGGAGTTTCTCAGACTTTCCTTGTTTTTGACGACCTTGACAGTTTTGAGGGGTACTGGTCAAGTACATGGTAGAATGCTTCTCCATATGGGTTTGTCTGAAGTTTTTCCCACAATTAGACTGAAGTTGTAGGTTTGGAGGAGGAAGACCGCAGAGGTAAAGTGCCGTATTCATCCCTTCATATCAACAATACAGGCTATAATATGACCTATCAGTGACAATGTTAACTTTGATCTCTTGGTGGAGGTAGAGTTTTTTGTCAGGTTTCCCTCCTGCATAGTTACTCTTTTTCTCCTTTCCATACTTTACTCTTTAGAAGGAAGTCACTACATTCAGTTCACATTTAAAGAGTGAGGAGTTATACTCTATCTCCTTGAGGGGGCAGTGTCTACAGGTTCCCCTAAGATTTAATCTCAACTTTTCTATTTTGCATTTGCTTAAAGCAGGGCTGTAAGGAAGAGATGCTCTCTCATACCAGTGTTAAACCAATACATTGAAGATGATAAATGCCTAGTGATCAGTAGGCATCCTGCTTGGGGAAGAACTGGACTTGGGAATGAAAGGAAGCAGGCTGCGGTCCTCTTTATTTGGGAGAGCCAACAAGAGGCCGGAAGCTGAGCTCTGCCATCATCATTAGCAGCCCTTCATCATCACCAGCCTCACCATCTCCACCTAAAATCAGGCAGGTCAAGAATAGATAGGGTCAGACCAGTTTCTACTGAGATGTGCATACATTAAGCCTATGTTCCTCCAAATATTTTAGGGGCAGTGCTAAGGAGAGGGAAAAACAATAGATTTGGAAATAGAGAATAATAAAGAGGTAGAGACAGGGAATAAAACCTGTCTCTACCTCTTTATTAGCTGACCAAGCTTGAGCATATTATCTAACTTATCCCTACCCTTACATTCACATCTCTACTAGGCTGGCTGGCAAATTTCCCCTACTAAGCACTCAGTGAGTATATGTGATAGTACTTGAAACATAAGTTTTGTATAACCATGAGTTATTATTACTACTCCTCTTTCTTCTATACAAGAAGCATTCATTTAATATCAACTGAGTACCCAGCACTGTGC